GAGCGAACCCGAAAGTTTTCATCAAGATTCTCATCGTCGAGATTTTCGCCAGCGCAATCAGCCTTTTCGGCCTTATCATTGGTGTGTACTTGACCTCCAAATTATGAGGAGAAAACGTACCGAAAACATGAGATGTAAGTTATGAAATAAATGCGTATGTTAAAAGTGTGTCCTTTTTATAATGTGTATTTTCTTAGTTGTTTTAAATATTCGTTCCTGTGCTCTCAATAATAGTGGTTGTAATGGTGTGTTATTAGAGATGATATGTTTATTTCAGGATGTAATTATGTTTTTCTCGGTGATATAAGTTCAATTTCATGATCATGGTGTAAAATGATTGGGTTCAAGTTTTTATTTCTATACCACGTGTACACTTTGTGGTACACGCTGTGTAGATCATTGTGAATATACCTTTTCGGCCTCATCACGACCTTCAAGATAAAGTGTAAGTAGAGCGTTTTTGCATTTCCTGTTCATCGGAGCACGTTAATTTCTTCAAAGTTTGTATTTGCTTATCAAATTGTGTTACTTTGTTGTTGTTTTTTTTGTCTGAATTTTTCAGAAAATGACTAAACGCTTTGGCCTATTACCGTTCTGTTAATGATAATTAGCAGATTATGATGGCCTTAAATACGAGTTCTATTTACATATTGTGTTACTTCCCTTGATTATTGACATTTGTGGCGATAGTAAGATGGATAGTAAATTATTGAAGAAAAGCTCTGTATTTGTGCAACACAGTAAATAAAGGAACATGTGTTTTTATTTTCAAATTCTGTTTTTTTCCTGAAATTTTGACATTTTTGTCGTCAGAAGGCTTAATGTAGTTCATGTTTATGACATTAAGAAAGTAGTAATGTAGTAGATAGATTCTCAAATTCCTGGAATGTCGTAGCAAATAAATGACGTCATCAAATTTAGTTCAAATGGGTACAAAGTGGCGTATTCAAGTAAATGCTCCAAATCTAAATATATATTTACCCTATCAAAAAGGAGTGTCCTAAAGTAAGCTAAACAATGTATACCTAGCAAACTATCTTGCATTAAATATCTAGGATTTATATGGACAAACGGCTTACATGAGAACCATATAACTGCAAGAAGAAAGAAGCACAATCAGATTCTCCAATTATCTGGCTATCAACCGCCACTCAAACTTTCTTTAGACACAAGTACTCCTCTACAAATCAATAATCAGGCTATCTGGAGCTACGAATTGAACTCTGGGGATCCGCTAGCAAGTCAAACATTGAATACTCAGAAGATTCGAATCAAAATGCATTAGAAGACTAGCCAATGCACCGTGTCGTAACGAATGAAACACTACCGGAGACCTCAAGATACCCATATATAGAAAGAAATCACTCAGCATAGACCACCTACCAAGGCGGTTAAACAAACATCAAATCCATCAGCCATTAATCTATTGGATAATAGCCGAGGAAGTACACCGACTGAAAAGATCCATAAATTCGGAATTACCATTCGCTCAACAACCACATGACGATGTACTCTAGCTTCATTTAATGCATAATAACGACATTTACTGAATGTTTGTTAAGAAAACAGATTGTAAATAAACAGAATAATAATAATAAAAAAAAATTAGTTCTTCCTTGTACCGTACTGTTTCTCCCCCCTGGATTTTTGACATTTATGGCGTTGTTCAGAGGGCTGAAATTATGAGATTATGAAGACGATAATGTTGATAAATATATTTGATCTACTTTGATTTTATCTTTTCTAAATGTATTTACACTTTTACATCCAGTCCCAAATGCTTCAGCAAATTAAATATTCCAGTTATGTATTGTTCTATTAACAAAGGATAATTTTCCTGTATCAAATCGCGGCGTTCGTGTACGTGGGTTTCAGTAGCCTGTTCCGAATTTCCATCCACGTAGGGAACCTATATACGCCTTATGTAAAGCGCTGAGCCTAGCCGCCTTTCTGCAATTTCACAGCGGTAAAATTCGTTTTGAGTCATTCACCAGAGAATTTAGCAGCTCTCTTCTGAATTTTGTCTGTCTCCTTTGGCCTAGTCGGAAAGCATTCTAGCATACGGCCCCGTATTGCAAGATAATACTATTCTATTATTCTAAGATGAGGCGATTCTATGTTAGAGATAATCTCTCTACTTCCGGTAGGACGTAGGCAATAAATGGTCGAGTTCGAAGTTTGTGTTTCCTTTGAAGCGCTGGGCTATTTCGGGGGCGTGGCGGCCCATGGGCGGAAAGTGGTGGCGGCGAGGCGCGCCGTCCAGTGCAGTGCAGCGCCGGCCAAAGAGATGGACTGCAGCCATAGTAGGCCGACGAGCGGGTGAGTTTGGGGCAGCATGGATACCTATGGGACATGAAGGGTGTTTTCTTTAGATGTTGACTGTTATTCTGATCGTGCTTTGCGTTTGTCAGCGTCACCTTCACAGACTCCGCGAGTTCAAGGAAGATAAAACACGAAATCAGTTCGCGTGAGATTCAGGCAGAGTTTTGATTTGACGACGATTTGACGTTTTGTTGGTTCGAATGAAAAGGTTTACTCACTATTACTTGAAAGCAAAATTCTAAAAATTCAAGGTCTCTCTAAACAGATGACTTGGACTGATATGATATTTGGATAGATTTCATAAAAATATATACAAACAATTTTTGTTTAGTTACCATAATGTGATAACTTTCTCTTGCATCCCTTTATCATTTCTTTGATATGAAATGATATAGTTTGTATAATTCTTAGTGTCATGTGACAAGATTTTATTTAACAAGTGAGAACATGTGACAACGACGTGTCAGATTAATTAGAGTTTAAGTAGTAACAAACTTCATGGAAATTAATGGAAGTAGAAATTGAGTTTTCGCAAAAGGCATTATCTTGGATTATGGCGAACTTTAAACCTGGCGACGCTAAAGTGAAGGAAAATCATTCCAAAATCTCATATGATCACATTATTATTTAAACCTTAGTCCACCCAATGGTATTTGTTAACTACATTTAGTTTTTATTTTCTATGACTTTAAAGAATTAAAGTTAAGTCTCGCGGATGGTCGACGATCGTCGAATAATCATTTTAATATCTGAGTAGCGGTAGGTGACCTTGCTGCTCCCTCAATGAATGCTTTATAACCTCAATGTTTTCCTCGTCTCTCTCTCTTTCTCTCTCCCTCTCCCTCTCTCCTGATCACTGTTTCTCCCTAGCCTTAGTAATTGCTTTCCAAGTCCTAAATGATATTTAACCATCACGACATACCAATAACTGCGACATACGCATGCGATAGAGTAAGATGTATGAAATATGATAATCTTATGAACTCTCTCATCTTGTGATATAAACAGGCATTATAGTTTGACAAATATAAAAGATTAACATGAATACATACAATTTATTGAACGTTAAATATCAATATAAATGACATAAATCACTTCTCTCCCTTTGAAAGCATATTAGAGGAAGGAAGGAAACGTTTGCGTGAAATATGACTTAAATTTCTGAATTTTTTTGTATGTTTAGATATTCCAGTGGGAGATCAGTAGTGTGAATAGAATATTAATCTCTTTACTATTACGAGTTGTGTGTCACATTAGGGATTTGAAAATTAGATCTAGTTGAATTCATTATTTATAATTTTAGTTTCCAGAGCCGAAAAATAAAAATGTATAATTTTTTACGCAAACTAATAATGAAATAAATGCTCCTTTGCTTGAATGAAAAATGAAATTTTTCTAAATCGTTTTTCTTTATGGTCGATATCGGAATTAAATTCTACTTCAAGATAACATATTCGATTCAGAATTTCAATTATCTCTTCACGAAGTAGGGACGAGGGACTGTGATAAACGTGAATACGAACAAAATTGATATTTAGTAGACAAACAAGAAATCATCAGAGAAGTGGCGGTAGATTGCATTTGGTTTTTATTTTTTATTTATTTTTTCGTAGAAGTTAAGAAATGATATATAATTAAACCAAATGTTTTAAATGAAATTGACTTCCGTGTTTAATCGAGTACAACTGCGGGATTTCGTGAATAAAAATAATTCGCGAAATGTTCCTTTTTTTCTGCAACAACAGTATTTATGATGCGGAGGCCATGTAATAGGAAGTAGTACACAAAAGCTGCTAGGAGTTACGGGAGTTATTTTAATGAACTAAATGCAACTTTTACACCACACAGATTTTCATCTACGATCGTACCGTGGATAGCGAAGTCTCGTGTGGTGTAACGGGCAGGAATTTAAGGGGAGCTTTCACGTCAACGAGACATTTGCCTCTCCAGGGACTCTGGCGTGACGCGGCCTCGCTTAAAGGGGATCTCCTCGGCAGGGCAAGGGCGGAGGAATGGGCGTTATCTGAAGCTTACGTTCATTGAGTTTAAGCATAGTGTGCGCACAGGGGGAGAGCTCGGGGGCACGAAAATGTGCCCCCACGAAAATCACTAAAGGTGCCCCTGCGCCCCTGCGAAATGAAGCATTTTATTTCCGTAAAGATCTGTATTCTACCGTACCCATGAAAGAACACTGGCATATTAAACCCCTTCTCTACCTTTCCATTTTCATATTATGAGGGAAAGTTGTTAACGAAAAGTGTTTATTTGTTTAAAAATGTATAAAGGTAATTTCCAATTTACTTACAGAATATCAAATAAAAACAAAAACAATGCAATCAATACTTCAAACAAATTTTCAATAAAGGTTCATTTAGTATTACAGACAACTTTCTTAGAACATTTCACAGCAGTTTCTAAAAAACAACATTTGAAGTAATTATACAATCTTCCTTAACAATTTTCGCTATTGTTGATTGTTACAAAAATATTACAAACGTTTCTTAGTTTTGAGAAAGCTACGTAAGATCGTAAATTTGTCCATGTGAAAATATACGATCGGGCAAGTACAACCCTACTCCTTGCAATATTATTGAACTTTATTAATAGAGAGTTACACCTCGCAATAATGTCGCATAGAATATCAAGTAATTAATTTAATTTCACATAAAGTTGCAGATTCTACTTGTCTCAACTGGTGTGGTAGTATCGAGAAGCGCCGGGCCAGCAAAAACGTAATTGAATGTATAAGAAAAGATCATCCTGTAGATTATGGTATGACAAAACTAATCAATACTACTGAATTAATATAAGAGCGATTATAATCAATTTCTAATTTCTTCCTTTTTTCTGTCGACAACTTGGGAAATTATATACATTTGGGGAAGAGGCTCTCCATACCATCTGTAAATGGTAACCTGTAAATGGTTCAATATAAACCATTTTAATTACGTCAATAAAATTAATTCATTCTCCCTGTATTCTGTTTTATTTACCAGTGAAATATAAAAATTGTGAAAATTGCAATAGAAAATAGGCCGAAAAGGAGACGGGGAAAGTAGAATTATGATTTTGTCCCTCTTTTGTTTTAGGCTAAGACGCCTATGGGTTTAAGAACGGAAATGCAATTATCACGAGTATCCTGAGACCTTCTATTATACTGGTTTGCAATCTCTCTACCACAACTTATATCGTCGGTGAACAATAAAATTCCCACATCTCAAAAAATGGCATTTTGCAGAACGTTTTAACGTCAGAAGAGCCTTTTGTTTCTTGGTAAAAGACAAAGTGTTACACTCTGTATTAAAACGGCTGTTTCTTTGAAATATCTCTAATCTAAATCTAATCTATCTAAATTGTGAATTGTGAAATTAAAATACAGTTGAACCTGTCTTAAGCAGTCACCAATCTGGCCAAATATGGCTGGCAATTGAGGCGGCCTCTGAATCAAGATTATGAAATCACTGGAAGCGGAAATCAAATTTAATTGTTATAATTGCATTGAAATGAAGTAGGGTCTATTTAACATTTTTAATTGCCGTAAATAACAATGTTTAATTTAGACAAAGTATTTGGGATATTTTACTTCCGCTCAGCTAATATTGAGCTTAACCAAACCTCATATAATTATTAAGTGTCAGTTAATGGTGACGATTAAGTGTCAGATATGGTGATATGCTATGCCCTAGCAACAATTTTCTTAAGTTTCTAGAATTAGAAGATGATTTATTAACTTGAAAGAGTTGTAATATCTTCCATTCTCGCACTCATTTATAAAGTTCAAAATTAACTAACCGAAGAGAAAATGTAGACTGTTTTAGTATCTTGAAATAAATATCTTCTTAATTAATATGATAATTTAGATTTCTTTCCTGTGACATTTTTACTATAATGTTAAAGCATAAAACAAGTACACTTGGTCCATTCTTTATTTTTTTGATCCCCTAATAATTTAATTAAAATTATCGGAGAAACCACGGAAAACTACCAATCGGAACAGCATGCCACAAGATTTCATTCCCGCATTACGTCTGAACTCGACATACTCATAACTGTCTATAGCCAGAAGTCGAAAATCCTGCCACTGTCGAAACTCGAACCCTTGGAGGAAGTACCTGGTCAGAAGTACGATATTGACAAAAATTAATGCTCTGAGCCACCTTTCATTTATTTTGTATGAGTAGATGCCGATACTTACGCATTTCAAGGTTTTCACTGATAGCTTTTCGTGCAAGTTGCATTGTACATGCCTTGATGAACTTATGATTTCCAATTGACATTCCCCTCACTGTATCTGTTCGCGAATTTAGACGCTATTTTCTACACTCGGTTTAATGCTCTAATCTAACGTTTTCAGAGAGATTTCCAGCATGCTACTCTGTATTTCATTATGGGAATACAAGGCAGTGCAAACATGTATATATGTGTTACAGTTACCTATCCGTGCTACGCGCAAAAGGAAAGAAGAGTAAACTATTGGGGCTACAACACATACTTTCTCACATTATTTCTACATTTTGCAAAAAAGATAGTTCAACGAAAATAAACCCCGCTCCATTTCTGAAGCATTCCTTGCTATATCTAAAAAACTTAAAAACATGTGGGGCAGTTTTTGACTTTACTTAAATAATGCATTAACTTCAAGCAGAATTACGGAGCAGAAACAACCCGTTAACTGAAAAAAAGGTGCTGTTTTTTTAATATCTGATTTTTTAGAACAAATTTCACTTAAGAAAATCATTTCTATCAACACTATTGTACTTTTGCAATGTTACTTTTTTGCAATTTCCGGAAATACAGAGGGAAAATGGTTCTAGAACAATTTTTTCCGTTCTTTCCTACATTCCTACAAGGAAAAAATTAAGAAGTATTAAACCGTGTATCAGAAAAGTAGTTTCAAATTTGTCTATATTTCACGATAAATTTCGCGAAAACTATTAATATTTTCGAAAAATTGTACACGATCTTACTTGAAGATCTGTCGTTGAACAATGGATATCACTCAGAAAAATCTCAAATATGTATTGTAGTTGGAGGACGACGGGTTTTGTAATTTTAAACATTTCAGAGATGAGGCCTGCACCATTTTCAACGTTTATTACGCTATTAGAATCAAACGTTTAATTACAAATTTGGGGTTATTTTGGGAGAAACATCGAAACTGTTATTTACGTTTCAAGTAAAGTACGTTCAAATATCAAAATATCCGCAGGGGCAGGAAATTGAATGGACATCGATCGGAAAATATAAATTTTCGAGAAAATCATCTGAACGGTTTAGACTCTAGCGGTGACCACAGTCGGACGGACAGACAGACGTAGTAAATAGTAGCCGAGATAGTAAAAGACAAGTAAACATTTATAATTATTAATGCCATTTGTGATTTTATCATCCTTTTATTGTTAAAGAACCTGAAATCTCCTTCGAAAAAATACTTTTCTTTAGTCACGTCATCCTTCTAGCACTTGAGTGACGTGTGTATATACTATATTAGCTGAATGTAAGTTTTGTACTAGAGGTATTTTGAGTAGAGGAAGAGAGAAGACAAGAGGGAGAGAGATTGAGAGATATTGAATGAGTGAGAGATAGTGAGAGACAGACAGGCAACTGACAGAGAGAGAGAGAGAGAGAGAGAGAGAGAGAGAGAGAGAGAGAGGGTGACACCAGAGAAGGGAAGAGGGGAAGAAGAGTAAGGGAAATAAAAGAGTGGAGAATGTCTGTATGGGTGAATGGATGTTTTGATTAAAAAAAAATTGTCATTGCTCTTCACTTCTTACAATTAGTCACAATGGAGATGCTGTGCGGAGTTCCAAAATGCAGAGTTGAATTTCGCACAGTGAAAACAAATCCACAAACCTTTACATGTCACCAGTGAAGTTTTTGAGGAGATTAAAAAAACAGATATAATAAAATTCATTAATAATAAAATTTAATAAAGTTTAATAATAAAACGAAAGGTTATCTAAGAATAACAGATAAGAAAATAAGGTGACCGTGAAAGCCGTCTTAAAGACTTTGCGGGAACTAGAACTCATGAAACATTTCTATAACTACGAACTCCTTATGAGCTATAACTCATAAAAACGTCGATTATGGATTTTTAATATGATTGACTGTTTTCTTTCCGGCGATCTAGGGCCGACTTTTACCTCGGATTGCGATGTTTTCCATCTCCAGGTATCTGTGCCAGTGATGCAGCGCCTCAGCCGGAAAATCTACAGATTGCTTACAAGCACTCAACATGTAGTGTGTAAGTGTGCATGTAAGTGTGTATGTGTACGTGGGTAAGGGAGGGGGCAAGCATAAGGAAGGGAGGAACGGCGGTTCTCCATGCCTCTTTTGTTAAGGCATTCGGCCAGTATTGATCAGAGAAAACAAAAAAAAGTACCGATCAGAGTATCCGCCTCTAGAGTTCTCCAGACAGCGGCTGAATGCGAGCTCTCCCTCTAGCTCTTCGAACCCTTGAATTTCCCGGTCAGTGCAACTGCGGCAGTTGATCTGAGCCAAATCAGTCAGTGGATGTCTAATAGAAAGTGAACATTCTGTTAAATAAACGAAACAAACGTTTGAATTTAAACGAAATGTTGTTATGAGTAATTTCCGAATCTCCTATCGTTGCAAACATTAATGGATCGATAATACTAAAGAAACTTACTTTTTCACGCCTAATAAAATTACTAAGAAAATTCTACATAGAAAAAAATAGTATGTTTTAATTTTAATTCAGAAACTGTTTTTGGAATACAAAAAACCTTAGATTTTTTATGTACAATAACCTATGGCTTATTCCTTGACTGTAATCTATATTATTTTTAGGTAAGTTTTGCGGTTTTCATACCCAATCAATCCTGCAAAATGGTTGTCAAAAAATAGAATTGGTCAAGTTGAGACTGTCACTTGTTTCCAGTTATTCCTGACAAATATAGCATTCATCATCCTGCTAAATTTTAAGTAGAGCCTACCGCTTTATTACTGCTGTGGCCCATATTATTATTATTATTATTATTATTATTATTATTATTACTATTATTACTATTATTATTACTATTATTATATTACTATTATTATATTTGGATAGATGTATATGAATTCCCTATACAATTTTTGCCTGTATCACATTCGCTTGATTTCTGGGTAGGTACATTTGAAGTAACAGCGCATCAAATCTTCATTCATGGTTACAATGGTGAACATTGTTAAGAGCTTCTTTGATTGTTCTGTAGCAACGTGTGCCAGCTGGGGTACCGGCAAAACATCAACTTCAGGGTTTACTGTGAGGTGTTGGGGGCTACTCTCACTTCTGTATTCAGCAATAGCTTCTGAAGGGACCGGCGATTGGCGGTCTGCAAACTGTCATGCCCAGTGGCAACTGCAGGCATGCCCTGGCGCTCCCCAGGTAGCGAGTCTCTTTTCGAGGCCTTACGATGACTTAGACGTCTATCCATCATTGGTTTTCTATTTGGATTCTCCTTCTCCTAGATTTTTTACCCTGCTGCCAGAGACCCTTGGCATCCACCTTCCCCCGGGTCAGGTGAGGACTGGGAGTAGATGTAAGGAAGGAACAAAGAACAGAATTACTAAGGATAGGTACTAGAGGCCTCAATGCTTATTATTATTATTATTATTATTATTATTATTATTACTGTTTTGAGGAACTTAAATACAAGTACTAACAATTTATGAGAATGTATGGCAAAGCTGAAAAACTCTAAGCCATTACAAAGCCTAACTTCTACAATTAAAACCTGTCCACTCCTTTAGTAATAGTTTTCACGATTCCTATAGTTCACGATTCCTATTCATTTTTCTCTCCGTGTTTCGGAGGCACAGCAATTTAAGAGGTAGTGGATGATCTTCATCGCAACTGTGAAAGTAATGGAAAAAATCCTCCAATATATACGCGTAATGAAGATTAGAGGGAATGAATGCTAATCATATGGAATTGAAAGAATACATTTAGTTTATCCTCTTGGTTAATTTCATTTACATGATCATAATAAAAAATACAGACGCCTCGTAATCGTCCACTGATTTCATTCTTCGTACATGGAAAATAGATGTTAGATTATTGAGAGGTATCTGTTTCTGGACAGTGGTTATAGTAATACTGTCAAAATATCTAAAGTTTCTGTATATTGTGTTTTCGTAATATTGTACAGTTATAATAGAAACTTTATGAATTAAAAAAGAGAAACAAAAAGCCACCATGATTTTTAATTGACTGCGACCGTTAAAGATTTCACC